TTATTATTGGCAACATCCGCTCTGTGTAACTCAATCTCAATCAAAGTTAACAAATACAGTTTTTGTGTTCGTGAACATTAAGTTTTTATTTAATAATCACATCAAAAACTTAGAAAACCTAATAGAAATCTATCATTTTATTTACCTACATAATATAATAGGAATAATGTGATCGCCACCATGCTAGTTCTATGAAAAATCATTTAAAAATTGTATAAACGAAATTACTCTTAAGTGAAGTATGTTTGAAAAAAAAGTCCCGCTGGGTTTCTTCCCAGGACAGAGGTATTTTCCGAACCAGTGGTAAATAAAAAATGACTAGACTAGAAAGTAAAAGAAAATCACTGGTTCGGAAAAAACCTCTTTCTTGGGAAGAACCAGTAAGATACCCAGCGAAACTTTTTTTAATTAATTTACGCAATAGCTATCTTTAAAACTTATTTTTTTTTAATAGTAAACGCGGGACCATACTGACGTGCGCTAAGCGTGAGCGCTACGGCCGCAAAGCGAAACTTAACATACCGATACCGCAATGACCAATGATTATCATAGCAAGTATGTGAAGTCGTGAGGCCGTGCTCAATGCTCACTGCTCAGGTGCCGGTTACGCAAGAGGCGGCTGAAGTACCGTGCCGACTCGTGCACTCGACTTCTATGAATATGGAACGCTTTCTGCAATATTATCGATGATTGATATATTCAATGTTGCCCTATAATCAATAGTCAACAAAAATGAATGTAATAAGGTAATGTATGTATATATACATACCTTATATATACATACATTACATACATTAATAAATGTAATAAGTAGGTCATGATAATGGTCAGCAAGTAAATAAGTCAGTGTAAGTAAGTTTGATATAATGTCACTAAACTCATTATTTCATATGCATATATACACATGCGTACCCACAAGTTAGTGATAGTGTAATAAAAGTAGTTTATATGTACTCGTAATACATAATTTGTTACGAAATATTTATTTTAGATTTGAGTTTAATAAAACTAAAGTTCACTTAAAAATAACTACTCACGAGACAGTCACGTATCTCAACGTTGATATAAATAATATGTCATTCCCATTTATTTTTACTACGTTTTTTATCACGTTTTTTAAACTCGTTTTCGTGTAGTATGTTTGTTCGGGTCCAATTTTCAATTGATTTTAAACTAACTTCTCGATCAGCTAGAGACTTGAAATGTTGAACATAGTTCAGATTCGGATGACAATGTAAGAATATGAAGAAGAACAAAGAGGGACGGATGTCATCTTTGCATCTCGCCAGTAAGTTTTAAAGTAAAGTAAAAAGTAGAAGCCCACGGTAAGGCATAGACGTTCTCTAACTTCTGAGAGGGTTTTTGGAGCAAGGAACGAAGGAAGGACAATAAGTTTTAAGTGTAATCTCTTTCACAGATCAATACAAATAATTTTCTTAAAGTATATCTTTACCTTAACGTTTACCATAACGTTACTTGAATTTTAAAATAAAAACCCACATAGTTTTGAGCCTTTTGATGAGGCCATGCAGTTTGCTACTTGGCAAGAAATATTTCCCAACATTTTCTTCCGATAAAATTATGATATGGTAATTTAAATATTAAGAGCGTAAATACGTATATAAAGAAATCATGGTACCTATGCATATTAAAAACATCATTTATAAAAAAATTCACTTGTTAGGTATAGTTTTTTTAGCGCTACTTTTTAAAAGATTGTAGAAAGTCCATTTCGCTAACCTTTGACAGTTTTATGTTAAAATGGTTCGCGGGCAAAGTAGGTATTTATTAATAATATAAGTAAGAATTTGCATACTATTAATTATACGAGATACCAATATCCGACGTAGCAGGCGTCATTAACTTGCTTGCAATGAGAATACTTGTTCATTAGGAGTCATGCATTGTATAGGTGAGAGTATGAATTAAATTCCAATAACTGTTACGTCATATTCGTAACGCAATAAACCGTGCAGCAAACGTAAATGATAGCGTCAATTTGCATGAAATTATCAATTGGATAGAATATGTATGTATAGCCATCCGTCTCGTACTTTCTGAAAATGTTGGAAAATGTTGCAATGTTGGAAATACGAGGAAAAACTCAGTATAAATATATGAATGAATACAAGCGTAAAATAGCAGCTTAATACTGCTATGTTTTGTTTGGTGAGTGTAGAGAAACGGAGACCCTTTTTACTGGAGATGAGGTACTCCATCCAAGTCTTCAAGGGTGTACAACTAATCTGCATTATGATTCTTAATCGAGAGATGTACATGTTTATGGGCCACAGTATCTACTTACCATCAGGTGAACTGTGTGTTCGTTTATAACCCTTATTCTATGTGAAAAAATGCGGAGTAAAAATAAAAAGTATTTTAACTTAAAAATTGATAATATTGTTCACTGTTACACGTCGCAATTGGATTCTGCAGACGGTCTACAGATTTATCCAATGATGACGTCATGTTGGTAATTAAAATTTGACCGTTAACGTCGACCGGTCCACGTGATAAGCGCAGACAGACGCCTATTGTGATGGTAGCTGGCTTCCGACACTGACTCACCGCCCACAATAGATAACCGACAACAACTCGAGCGGGAACAAAAAAGCTTCAATTTAACCAAACATATTACTGTAACAGATTGTCTGGTATATCAATTAGATAACACTACCGCTGTTAACTGTTCGTGGGACAGTTAAAAAACAATTGATATTAATAGATACTTTTTTTAATAAGCCGCAGAAGTCGACGGTTGGACATGGATCTTTTTTTTTATATAGGATAAGGGTGATAAACGAGCACAAAGTCCATATGATGGTAAGTGGATGCTGTTAAGAATCAAAGTGCAGATGCGTTATCACCCCTGAGGAATATAATAGAATATCTCGTTTCCAGTAAAAAGGATATCCGGTACTTTACACTCACCATACAGCAGTATTGAGCCTTTTTTATATAGGATAAGGGTGATAAAGGGGCACACAGTCCACTTGATGGTAAGTGGTTGCTGTAGCCCATAGACAGTGGCAGCTCTTTTTTACGTGGTAGAGCCATGCTGCAGCTATATTACTGGTATACTTGTAGCACGAATTGGTCAGCCCGACCGAGGAAGGACCACGCTCTCACAGAATACCACTTCAATGCTGCTGTGTTTCGTATGGTGAGTGTAGAGAACCGGAGATCCTTTTTATTGGAAAAGAGGCATTCCATCTTAGTCCTCACGGGTGACAATGCCTCTGCATTTTGATTCTTTGAGGATAGATGTAGATATATATGGGTCACAGCAACTACTTACCATCAGGTGGACTGTGTGCACGTTTGTCACCCTATACTATAAAAAAAATAACGGTCATATGAAAACTATATTTCACCTTACGACTTTAATTTTTATACTAAGATATTTTAATATTTAAAATACTCAAATAAATGGCATTTTGGAATATACCTGAGGATAGACTTTAGATTAGTTTGTAACGGACTATTTTCTGCAACTCCATGTCTAAGCGCGTATTTAGAGTACGGACAGGAATATTATGATTATTCGAGCCATGAAATCCCCCCCGAGGAAGTTAGAACAGTCCTCTGATGTTGCTAGAAACTCGGGTTCAGTGCAGTGATTCCGGCGTGCCAAGATGTTTAGCCGTGTATGTCTTCCTCCCACATACAAGGATAGGCTTATTTGGAGCAATGGACTTGTGAAAGGTTGTAAACTGTAATCATGATGATGACAAAAAAAGATGTTCATTAAACCACAAGGAACTGTGACATAATTTACTAGTACCGTTCTACAATTCCTATAAATACGCGCCTGATTTTAAAATATTCATTTCCTACTCGTAGTCGCGTCGGTTGTGTCAACGTTTGCAGTCTATATTTACTAATATCTCGTGCCAGTGAATAAACCGGCTGTTGCATCAAACAGAGAAAATCAATGGGTGTTTACACACGAGCTCGTGGATACTTACCCGCGCCGCGTAGCTACATAGGCAATTGTTAATTTTTATCACATAAATTCTACGTTAAAGAGTCACGCTGCAGCTATGTTATGGTTGTAGCACGAATGCGTCGGCTCGATCAGGGAAGGAAGGTATAGTGCTGTGTTTCGTTTGGTGAGTGTGGAGAAACGGAGACCCTTCTCACTAGAAATGAGGCATTCCATATTAGCCCTTAGTGGTGACTACGTATTTCCATTTTGATACTTAATCGAGTACGGACGAAGATGTGAATGGGCCACAGCGTCCATTTAAAATCAGGTGGACTGTGTGCTCGTTTGTCACTCTTATTCTATAAAAATTATTATTATTGGAAATTATTTCATTTAGCTAAGCCATCGATTACCATCGTCTGTGCATAACATGTAAACATGGTGGCTTAAATCGGCGCTACACGTCATTTTATTAGAATTGCGCTAATTCTATTAACGCTATTTCGTTAGTTCTAGCCTATCGTACTTATCTATATTATGGTTTTCAAAGTTAAACAGCGCACGTGATAAAATATGCTATTTAAACTAACGAGATAATCCAAGATGCGAGGAAAAAGAAAAAATACGAGGAATGAGTAAACCACTGAGGATTATCAATTAACGCTGGAATCGCTCTCACTTAACAAGAACCAGGTCTACGAGTACTTATATGTTTATTCATAGATGTATATAATAGAATGATTTCTTATATTTACGCGAATATCACACATGGAATAAAACTAATTTTACGGATTTTATCGCGTTTAATATTATTTTTTTAATTCCCGACGTTTCGGGCATTTTACAACACACATATACTCGGAGGTCTGTGGTGTTTAACTTACCTAACATAATAATAACAATTAAAAGTTGAAGGTATCTCGTAGGTATAAATATGTTGACAATCTTAAATTTCTTATGCCTAATTTAAGACCAACAAAGAAAGACGGAGCGCTGCGCACATTTCAAGCGATGCTGAAACCATGCTCAACTTCTTGACACACACTCACGCATTTTTCCTTCTTTCTTTCTTAACTGCCCAGAATAGCCCACACAGCTGGACGCACACATATGCATCTAAAATTATTTTGTTAGTTGTAAATAATTTTCGATGCATTTTTAGGGTTCCATACCTCAAAAGGAAAAAACGGAACCCTTATAGGATCACTTTGTTGTCCGTCTGTCTGTCTGTCTGTCAAGACCCTTTTTCTCAGGAACGGGTGGAGGTATCAAGCTGAAATTCATAATAAATACAAGTCTACTGTCCCTTGGAGAGCTGTGAAAAAATCAAACTTCTAAGCCAACGCAATCAAAAGATACAGCCGTTAATGCCGCAAATTTTCGAAATTCGCAAGGGAATCAAAACCTACAGGGTACTTCCCGTGAACTCAGAATCTTAAAATTTGGTACGAAGCAACGTATTATAGCACAGATAAAGGAAAAATTGCGAAAAGCATAAATTTTTAGTTACATCATATAATAAAAATATTTTTAATAATTTTAAACTTATATACCTACGGATTTGTTCGGAACCCTCGGTGCGCGAGTCGGACTCGCACTTGGCCGGTTTTTATTTTATAGGATAAGTGTAACAAGCGAGCATATAGTCAACTTGATAGTAATAAGAAGGAAGCAGAGGAATAGGGTATGATTATTTCATCCATTTTTATTGGTGTAACCAGACTAAGCTACAGATCGGCCTACTCTTCAAATTTCTTGATGCCTCGATATCCTTTCAAAACTCAACATGATCAGCGTCATTTTATATTGCATCGCATAGAGATACTAGGCACGTAGAATTCCTTATCATTTCAGAGAAAGTATCAAACCGATCGACCTTTGTAAATATTCATGAAGCTTTTTTAAGTGACGAATTTGTAAGTCGCCGTCCTCGATGATAAAATATGGGGGTTAAGTGCTGTGCTACATGCGACAGTCATGCCCGTTGGCATTGCTTTAGCGGGTCAATGTCGGAGGATAAGTAGAAAAATTCACAATGAAGTCAATGAGCGAAAACAAAATGACGGAAACGCGTTGCATGTTGAATAACAAGCAATTCTTGAAACATTTCTATGCCAATGTTAATGTTCATATAGTAATATAAGATTCATTTGGATACAGAGGATGCATGTGATAAGTATTCCTATACGCTTGTTCCCGTAATTTTTGTAGTAAAACAGGCTTAACGGAGTCGCAATAAGACAATACAAACTAACAAATTGATAGTTATAAAAATATAATATATAACATCAATGGTTATAAAAAAAATATGCGAGGCCGTCTCAGTCATGCCATCAAGAGGATCAAATCGTGGTAGACGTAAGAACGTATATATAATACTCATACATCTCACACTAGTTATTAATTACAAAGATTTTACAAGTAAATCTATACATATATAAATAAAATTTAAGTGTCCGTCTGTAATAATGAAATGACTGGCTTCTCTTAAGCTTAGGTATATTTGCATGATATTAAGACATAAAAAATCATTTTTAAATTGTTTGTATGTCTGGGCTAATCTTTGTAACGGCTGAACCGATCGTGATGAAAGTTTATGAATAGATAGACAGAGAGAGAGAGCAATGCCTGAAAGGATGTGGGCTATTTTATACAAAAAAATAGGAACATTTTTGTTTAAAAAAAAATGATAACATACATGTTCTTTAATAAATCCAAATAACGCCACATTGATAGATCCTATCCAGGTGAAGCCGGGGAGGGTTCCTAGTTACAAATAAAGTAGGATTTACTGTTGTAGGATTTACTGCTGGCCGTATGAGGAAGCTCAAGGTCGCTCAGCGAGCTATGGAGAGGGCTATGCTCGGGGTTTCTCTGCGTGATAAACTTAGAAATGAGTATATCCGCAGTAGAAGCAGAGTAACCGACATAGCCCAAAGGATTAGTAAGCTGAAGTGGCAGTGGGCCGGCCATATAGCTCGAAGAACCGACAACCGATGGGGAAGAAAGGTTCTTGAGTGGCCGCCTCGTACCGGTAGGCGAAGTGTCGGGCGACCCCCCACGAGATGGAGTGACGACCTGGTAAGACATGCAGGAAGTCGATGAATGCAGGTGGCTCAGGACCGTGCTTTGTGGCATTCCTTGGGGGAGGCCTATGTTCAGCAGTGAACTTATGAAAGGCTGTAATGATGATGATGATGATACTGTTGCAAGCCGAAGGCCTCAATGATATCGCCAATTTAAAAAAAAAAAAGAATTATTCCACAGATGTTATCTCACGGAACACATTAATATAATGGACGATTGAACCGAAAATAACTAGCGGCGCACGAATGGGAACTGCAGCAACTCAAGCGGGTCGTAAATCATAACGCATTCGGCTTGTTAACCAACAAATCGGTGCGCGGAACAAACAAACTTGAACTTGGCGAGTCCCGCTAAAAATAATCTTATTGCGTAGTGCGATTCGTTCGCGGGGCCTGCAGCCGGCGCCTTTATAATGTAACCGTTAACACAACTGTAGAAGGTGAATACGTTGCTAATGCGTTAGTAATTGGGCTGAACAAATAATTATAAATAGTAGTATGTTCCTACATTTTAATCTAAATACGGTATTTTCAGTAGGAATGTAGTTGTTGGAAACCTTTAAAAATTGCATTATATCAATATTTAAAGGAACAACTGATACTATTGTTGGCTGCCTGCCTGTTATGACATCTTCACAATTTTATTTTTTTATTAGTCGCCACTTAGACGACCTTTACACATTTTTCTTTTTAATTTTCAATAACAACAGCCGAAATCTCTCTAAGATATATTGCTACTTATTTGAAATCTATTAACCTAAGATGAATTAAATACACTAATACTTCTTTATCGTTTGTACATCGTCACTTTGATTTTTTTTTCACAAATTTACAAATTTTCATTTTACGGAAAACATGAAATGAAATATACTTTATTGTACACCAGAAATACATATGAAAGAATGAAAAAAAATATATTTAAAGGTACAATTGGCGGCCTTATCACGCGTTCAACGTGTTTTGCGTTACTATAATTTCGTAGATAACGTAAAATTGGCCCTATTGAAGTACCTGCTTTTGTATCCACATTATTAAGAATGTGTCAATTATTAGAAAATATGTTTACTGAAATGTTATTTATTTAATGATCCTACAAACATGTTTATAAATCAAAATGCCACTAACCTTCTTGTATAGCTTGATCCATGTGAGGTCACCCTTCGAGTCGGTGTACTGGAGACCGAAGAACCAGACCTCACGCAGACCGATGGTCTTGACGACCTGATCGAACAGCTGTTTGCCGGTCGTCGTCTGCTGGATCGCGAACTCCAGCTCCGCGTCCATCGTCGTCACGCGGACGTTCATCTGTTGAAAGGAAATATTTATGTAAGTTGAAAGTAAACAGATGTAAATATCAAAAATGTCAATGTTTCTCTAATATTTTATGTATGCTATTACTGTTCATAATAATTGAAACTTGATTATTTATACTCTACAATTTGTTAATAAGTGCTATTTTATTGACATTTAAGTTATCTCATATCTTTATTTATGACATTGTAATGATTTAAAAAGCTAAGAATTATTTATTGTGTGTATTTTTACGCCGATACCGGTTAAAGACATTAATGATCCTAAAGTTATAATGTAACAACTTATTGTAACATGTCTCTGAAATAAATGAAATTTAAAAAAGAATAGGAAGATTGAATCAATTTCACACTGCTAATGAATACTGCTAATGTAAGCAAGTTTTTATAATATGTAGGCGAATTGCAAGTTCCTTAACCCATATATTTATGAAGAACAGAAATAAATACCTCGACAGAAAACATGCAGTGGAGTGCGTCTGCCCAGCTTAGTTATTACAATAAATCTTGTCAATAGTAGAAGTTGATGGCCAGCAGGATTTTAATGAGCTGATAAAGGTTTGAGCTAAAGCTAGTACAATAAGGTAATCTATGGGAGAGGCCTATGTTCAGTCTGTAATGGTATGGTATGGTTATACATATGTACATACCTAATAGATACGTACAACACACAGAATACCAGCGCAATAAAACAACTCAATGCTGCTGTGTTACGTATGGTGAGTGTAGAGAACCGAAGACCCCTTTTGCTGGAAGCCAGGCATTCCATCTTAGTCCTAAGGGGTGATAACGCATCTGCATTGTGATTCTATTGGGGATAGATGTAGATGTCTATGGGCTATAAGATCCATTTACCATCAGAAAAACAGTGGTAGATGGTTTGCAAAATTTAGAGTATTTTCAATGTTAATAAAATTTAAATTGAAACGCTTTGACAAGGTAAGCAATTTATTTTATCGTCGTCGGCAATAACCACTAAATTAACTCGACGTTTCTTATTCACGACAATGCTTCATGCCTTTTATGTAGACACACGTATAGCAGTGAATTAACGTAAGGCCAGCTTCGCTATAAGTTTAACTGATTTATGACGTTATAACAGTTAAAGTTGGCGGGGTTAATTTGTTGCCTACCGATGCCGATTAATAAGTCTAGTATAGACACTGATAGTAGCATCGTTGGTCTAATCGTCGTAATCTTGAAGCCCCGAGTTCGATTTCCGGGTCGGGATAAGTGTATAGGTAAGGATATCGGGATAAGAAATTCTCAGTAGCAACCCCGAGTTTGGAAGTTGGTGTCTCACCGCCGTGCCTCGGAAAGCACGTTAAGCAGTTGGTCCCGCGCCTGATCTCTCTCCGCTCGTGTCGGGTTACATTCCCACCGTACTATAAGAGTGAGGGAATAGAGAAAGCACTTGTGCTTGCGCACTATAATTCTTTACTAATACTAATACACTCGGGCACTATAATCCTGTCTATACCGCCTTAAACTTGCGGTCTAAAACTGGCCGCCTTGATCGAAATTTGGTCTGGAGAACATTATTATTTTAGTTTATTATTATAAACACTGAGTGACAATTTTGTAGCGGGGCGGAGCGTTAGGCGTCTAGGTTCTGTGTCGTAGTCACTCAGAGTGAATACCAAACGCGTTGCAATACCGGTGACCATTTTCGGTCAAGCCTTAGGCTGAGTCTCCATATTCTATCACCGATAATTAAGGTTTGGCGTTATATTTCATTTCTTTATTGTTTCCTTTCTGTTAGTAGTTAATAGGTCTTCTGCTTGGGAGTCTGTATTGGTAGATATGCTCTTCTTCCACTAGAGAAGTTGATTCATTTTTAACCGGCTTCAAGAAGGAGGAGGTACTCAATTCAACTGTTCTTTTAAATTTCTGTTACCTCATAACTTATTTCCAGGTTAACCGATTTCGGTGATTCTTCATTTATTTGAAAGCTGGTGCTTCACATGTAGGCCCATATAAATTTGATCAAGGTCCGACCAATAGTTTTTGAGTTATTCTTAATGACTTATATTAAAGTCGGTTGTACAACATTTTTAATTTCTCACGTAGAAACTCTGTCTCTAGTTGGCTGCAGAAATCTTTGGGTTGCAGGCGTTACTTATTATTAAGTGGGCTCTTTTCTAATGTTATAAAAAGTCTTACGTCACCTAGTGCTCGATATTGTATTGTAGCACGTGAATGTTGAATAGAGTTGCATTTATATTTCATGCTTCGTTAGCTTTGAAAAACCATTTGCATAATCATTATAAGTTATGTCTTAATATAAGCACGTCCATGTAAAATAAATAAATTAAGAAACATCGTGTTACATACATATTTGATTGTTAATTTATTAGGAAAAAACCCTTAAAATGTAAAGTGTAATATTACTACTACACAATTAAAAATAAGGGCCATGAGACAAGACACAAAAATATAATGCCTACATGAGCACACATAAAGAAAGTAAATGAAAAACCTGCCGAACGCTCTTCACTCGCGCCAAAATGACGGTCATTATAGTAAATATATTTTCTATATGCATACAAGAGTCAATGAATACTTGGGGCAACTAGGCAATATCACAAGCTAGAGGTAACACCTACGAGTAGGATTTCGTAAATATATTAAAAATAAAACTTCATTCCCTATTTTTTAAAACTCTACCCTAGGAGTGGAATTTTTTCTTTATTCATGTTTTTATTTTATTTTATGTAATTTAATTTGAACAAGGTATAACCTGTTTAATAAAAGATAATCATTAATCTGCTCACAATAGTGACATACAAAAAAAATACAGTCGACTGAGGCCTAATAATCTTCCACTCACTAGATGTCGCTATTTAGAACTAAGGTGAAGTTTTTAGTTACACAATATCATATAATTGAGAAGAAACGTTTCAAATAAAAGTTTATCCGCTCTAGAATATTATATAAATACATAATACAATAAGGGTTGCCACTTGCCACCCATACTATAATATATTTTAGTATCGTACAATATTTCAGTCAATGGTAGGTACTAATAATATTATAGAAAAATAATATAGTACTAAAATTTTTTTATCCCTAATTTAACTGTCGCGCTTAACTGTGACTGGAAGTCTGGAACAAGTAAGTTTTACGAAAAAAAAACTGCGTCATGAAAGTAAAATAAAAAGAAGAAAGAAATAGTTCATGTATTAATTTAATTAAAAATGAATTGTTAGTTTATTTTAATATCAATCTAAAATGCTCAGATTTAAAGCCAATAACAAATATATAAATATACCTAAAGATTAAAAATAAATGTGTACTTTTTTCTTGAATTTCCCAAAAATACTATATTTTTGTATCTTTTTGGAAAAAATACTATATTAAATTTGTCAAAAAAAGGTGACAACCCTAAATAAAAAGCATCAGTGGTTTATTCTTTAATTTTTTGCACATTTTTCTACTTCTGGAACATCCGTAGTTTGGTTTGTTCATTTATGATCCAATTTATGTAAAATATTACTCGTATTATAGAAAAAAAACTTTCTTAACTAATTAATTTCCCTGACATGCATCTCTCAAATATTTCACTTCATTCCTAAGAGTCGCCGCCCTGGTGGTGGCAATAAGTCGCGGATGCCCCCAATCAGAGCTTCTTTTTTAAAGTCTTTAAAAATGAAAAGTAACTCGACACGACTGTGTACATTATGAAAAAATGGGGAGAAACTGAATGTCTCCGTATCCGTAGATTCATTTATTAATAGACACTTCATGCTATATTTGGATTGTTGAATCGCTGCCAAACGGATGCGATCTTCCGGTACCGTTTATGTCACGAGCTCACGATCATTTTGTAATTGCGGCTACAACGACTGGATTTATTTGCGAGTAACAATTTAATAGCCACGATTAACTATTACCGCCTTGGACGGTTTCGAATCCTATACAAGTTATTGGTTTGAATGTTATATGATTGTTTTCAATTGTTTCTTGGATTACAATGAGGTACAAGTGTGATCAACATATTTTATGTCTTCAGTCAACTTATCCCGTCCCTTTATTAATGTTTAAAACCTTAAAAAGTTCTAGAACATCTAATGGACAGTTAGTGCTAATGTTCTAGACTGTTTTTATATATGATATGAAGCTGTGATGATTTCGCTCTCAATAGAGAAATTGTCTCCATGAAAACCACTTACGTCCTTGTTATAAAATTGTTGTTTATGATTAGTCTCAGTTTTAAACTAGTACCTGTTTCACGAAAGAAGTCCCGCGGAAATACACGAACGAAAATGTAAGGTATGTAATTTGTAAATGTCAAATTTCGCGAAGATTGGGCAGCGTCTAAGGGACTTCTATATTTAGAAGGATTTACCTTAAACTATACCTTAAACCCAAGACTATCAATAAACCACTTTTTTGTAATAAGACGGACTTATGTGTACCCTGCATAAAATCGAGAGCACGTAATTACAAGTCGATATACAACAAGAAACAAATTGTCTTTTTTGCCTGTATTGGAACTTCCGAGACCTTGCTATGGCACACATTAGACCACTGATAAACTAAAAGCCACAGAGGTCACACGGAAAATACAAACATGTTAAATACAGAGAATAAATCGGTGAGTCAGATAGTGGCTTAGTGCATACGTATTTTTAACCAATGTGCGAAGATCAAAGGCGTCGATTACATGTTCATAACATTTCTCAAGAGATATTTGACTTAACTTAAAAAAAAAAAACTATCAATGGTGACGATAGTTTTGTTTTTCTTTTTTTACGACGGTGTTAGTTTCGATGTAAGAATATCCACTAGCCTATATATAATCGCGTGGGTGTCGTAAAAGGCGATAGAGGGAAAAGACTACGAGATGAGCAGCAGCGTCTTCGAAATAACGACAAAAAATTAAAAAAAAAAACCTGCGGTTGCCAACCCGCCTGCCAAATATGTCAACTATGGCAAATATTCCCCTTATGCAACAATATATAAGTTAGGTCTATTTTCAGCAGTTTCAGCACT